CACGGTGATTCAAGGCTGATTTAGAGTGACTGGTCCTAAACCCAACTTATAGAGTACAGTAATTATAGGAGGTGAAGGGAGGGGCTGTAAAGGATGCTGTGGATAGGTGGGGGCTTGGGGAGGGAGGTTGTTGTCATTTGGCAGCCAGTCCAGTTGGAGAGAGAAATTACTACTGGAGCCAGAGCCTGGGTGGTGGAACATTTATCAACCAGTCATTGCAATGATTCACACGATCCAGCGGGGAGCCATTATTTTACCACCCTGGTCTCTCACGGCAACCTGCTGGTGGTGAGGATGATGATAGCTATGGGCTTTATGAGCACAGGAGCAGACATATACAGTAATTGTTTGAGAACAATAGTTGGGAAAGTCCCATCTTTTTTTCAGAATTCAGAGAGTCATATGTAGTCTGTGGATTGGACTACACTGAAAGGAATCGAGCAGTTCAGCCTGACTCAGGGGCATATGGCGTCTGTTCACTGCAGCAAAATACAGAGATGCCTCAGGAAGGACTGACAAACGTGTGGTCCCTGTAGTTGGAGGGGAGAGTAACTAGCACAGAATACATAAAGATCACAAATAAATACACCATCCACCTGCTCGGCGAGCGCTTTGGGACTGGGTAGATCCAAAGGCATTGATACAGTTTTGCATTTGCTGGTCTGCCTGTACAGGCAAGTATAACAGCTTCTGCATAACCAAATGAATTCCTAACTGAATAGGGAATAATGAAAGAGGCAAGGGAGGCCTGTGATGGCCTTCTCATAATAACAATGATAAAAATGCTATTCTTCTATTCATACTCCCCTCACTCTTCCTTTACCAACTTTCTCTTTTGGCTCCCGTGGGAGGCACATCATTCTAATATACACAGGTTTTCATCCCTACCGTTTTTGTGAAAGACCTGCAGGAGAGATAGAGACGGGGAGAGAAATGTGGTCTGTTTATTCAGTCAGATGGTCTAACGTGTGTGGAATAGATGTAAGCTAACTGCACGATGGCAGTTGGCATAAGTGAGTGAGTGAATAATGCTGTCCCCAGAATCACTCCCTGGTTCACTCTCTCACTTTAGTCTATCAGCGAGCAGTAAATTGAGATTTTGGAGGCTTGTGAATTATCATCACTGTAGTGCTGAACAATGGCAATGACACGTCTAGTAAGGGAAAACATTGCATTGTGGTATATTTAGCAACTAGACTACGAGTCTACAGCCATGCAAAGCCACTTAAGCATAACAGTGCTTAGAGCTAAGTTTTAGATCAGTGTATTAGCATGCTTACCTTTGCTAATTAGCACTAAACACAAAGTTGGCCACAGCTAAGAATAAATGCCATTAACTTTGAAGGGTAGTTGGTCATAAACCAAAGTATTGGATAATTTTAATTTTTGAAGTGATTATTGTAGTATTAGGTTAAATATGTGGTAGGAACCTCGTGTAGGTGCACTGTTGAAGGGGGGACAATAAAGCCGAGGGATTAACATGCATGCAGCTGTCGTTTTTGTGTGAGCCTCCAGATAAGGTTTCAGTGTACCCGAACAACTGAACATGGTGTCAGAATACAAAATAACATCCTAACAGACATTCATAGAAAGTTAGCATGTAGTTGACCCTAGAGTGTTTTAGTGTTCCTATTACCACTGAACAGATTAAAAGTCAGGGGATCATCGAAGGTATTACAGTTTATTCATGTCGAAATGAAACACATTCACAGCAATCCATCCAAACGAGGAGTGAAACCATGGATGCCTGGTCAAAAGATCTGGACACTGGGCCAACCAACTGTCAGACGAATATTACCATCCCTAGAACTTTTTTTTACTCCTTGTGAGGTGTATACTGCTTAAAGTTTGAACTTAGTATTCAAGTAAAAGTAAATATAGTAAACTAGGCAGCAAAGAAGTGATTGAGTGAGTGTTTTGTCGACTCATTTTCACAGATCTCCTTATTGCTTTTTAGATTATTCACCGATGCAAAATGATTCTCCCAAGATGGCTGGAACCATGTCGCAATGTCTCTGTTTTATACCCCTTTTTCCTTAGCCTCCTCTAGCTTCACTTCCTCGTGTCATTCACTGTCAGTGTGAAAAGGTGTGTGTGACTCCACTAGTAGAGCAGAGCCCATTATCGTAAATAGGCCAATAAGTAACTTCACACAACGTGTCTCCAAAGCAAGCACACTCTATATGCAAAGCAGAGGCACACTGTTAAAGAAACTGGCGCCAAGTGATTATATTTGTAATTTAATTTCCTTGGTCACACAGAGATAAGAGAAGGGAGCAGCTACAGTTGGCGAGGGATGAATAGAGTGACGAGAATGAGACTACAGCTTCATTGTCTGGACTGAGATGTCCGAGACGACAGCACTTACGAACAAGGGTACTGGCGGGCAGATACATATACAGGGATCCACAAGTCTAAACTCAAAAGACACAAAAACAACATTAGTACCAGTGACAGCAAAGAGAGTTCTACTATGCAAAAACACCTGCACTCTCAAATCGAAAATGGATGAATGTAAGTGCAGGAAAATCAAGAAACTCTTTTCCCTTGATACAAGCTCTGTCTCTCCCCTCTCCGTCCATCTTCTTTGCACTCAGTTCTGCTGAGCAAATGTAATCAGCAGGGTGGTCTGGGTGGGATGTCAGTCACAAAGAGCAATGGCTCATTGCAGATTCTAGCGATGAACCGGTTCCCTGCAAGAAAGACGACTGAAGGACACAAGGTGTTCTCTCACCACATCCTCTCTCTGTCTGCTTTTTCTGAAATTGTAGGACTGCAGACATTACATTTCCTGATTTTTCCATTTTCAAAGAGTGCCCACTTATACTGATGACAATGCAGTGGAGGGCACAATACTGCAGTGGTCAAACTCTGATTTTGACTACATCAGAACATTCAGGGCCATAGAGAGCTGGTGGTGAGAGGAAGAGAAAGGTACAGAGTTCATCCAAATCTGACACCACACACTGCTGTACAGAATTCAGGGACAGTGTGAAACTGTTTTGCGACATCTCAAATCCTGTCTCCCCTTTTGTACTTTGTTCTCTCTTCCTCTCATCTTTATGTCTGTTTCTCCCCTGCTATCTTGTCTTTCTGCGTATTTCCTCAGTGTCTTCACTTTGAACCCAACAGCATTAACCTGTCAGGAAAGCTACAAATGTTCTGAGTGAATTATGTAAACCACAGAGAAATAAAACTGCAAAAAGCATGGAGCTCTCGCTTTATTTCATAATTCATCACGCTCCCAGACCGAGCCAAATAAAACTTGACTTATTGAGCAGTCCGGCACATTCTGGCTCAAAATCCTCTGAAATATGCTTGAGAATATTAATCACCCTTTGTCTACCTCACAAATAGAAATCAAACACACACATGCATACATGCACAGATTTTTTTTTTTGTAATTTCATTACTCATCAAATGGGAGCAGTGTCTCCCACATTTCACCAGATTTCATTGCAAAGGAATAGATGTTACACTAGCGCCACCAAAAGGTAAAGCAGAGAACAACAGTTTTTTGGTCTTTTTAATTTTCTTTGCCTCCAAAATACAAACTTACAGCACAGAAAATCAGATTAAGGATGCTTTGGCAGGCAGCAGGTTTATTTATTTATCTCAATGAACACAACCACAGACACACAGGAGAGAAGAGAAACACACACTTTATACTGGGGGATGGCGTAGTGTCAGTGCAGCGTAATTAGTAGGACATGGCTGTATAATTGGTCTCTAATTGATATGAAGAGCAGTGGTTTAGCCCAGCTTGTGTTCTACATATGCTGCAGGCCGCAGGCAGGAAACGCCAGCGGCCTGCTCAATCTTGGTGCCATCTTCTGATTGATGTCTCTGTAGCAAATGCCCTTCAACAATCAGTACCCACAATCTCTCTGTCTATCAGGCCACCTGTCTATCTGTGTATAACATCTTCTACCATTCATCTGTCATTTCTTTCTTTGTGCCTAAACGTCTCACTATCTCTTTCTTTCTATCTCCACATTGATTTGGCCTCTCTTTCTCTAAAGGCATTCTCAACCTTTGGTCTGTTTCTCTCAGAAAGGTGAAAGAGCAGCGTTTTTGGTGGTGGAAGGTGAGAAGTGGAGGGTTTTTCTATGAGACACTGGTAGCCATAAAAGACTGCATGCTTTCAATGGCCCAGACAGCTTCTATCAAGGGATATAAACAGCAACTTCAGATGAAAAGGAAATCCATTTTAAAAGTACTTTTATGCACAAAGAAAAGTGGGTTACCTTTCTTTCTCATTTTAGCAAATGAGGTCTGAAGAGGTTTCTTTTAGAAATCAGAATTGAACTAAAATATCAGGCACTGCTGAGAGGTACAGCTGGACGCAGGAGGTCAACACAGAGCATAACTGAATGGATTGGAAGTTTGGATGGGGAAGCTCTTTAGAAAAAATTCTGTTCATGGATCGGGTGCTGATGCAAGACGACCTTCAAGGACATTCCCCTCATTTACACAGCAATTAAGCACTACCCTGTTGGTAAATTGAAAAAGAGACAAAAATCCTCTGTGGATTTAATAACAAACTCATTACCAGGGCCCAACAGGGCGGAACTGCCTTTTAATTAGAGCAACACCTGATTAACGCCCAATTAACAGAGCCAGAGCCACTTAATTCTCCCCCACTTTGGCAGGTTGAGAGCATAAACATAAGCAGTCCGGCATCGGAGTGCTTCCTCTCCTTCTGGGGATGTGTGAGAGAAAAGTAAATAACGACTTTGGAAGCAGTCTGTTGTGTGGTGTTCCAAATGCTCTGCAGAGCTGGGAACAGTACGCTGGAAATGCATGAGGTAAGTGTTTCAAAAAGGAGACAGATGTAGGACTCTCTGGCAAAAACTCTGCTTCACTACACATGCAATTCCTAGTTGGCTGATGTAGGACGACTGTCTAAGCAGGGAACCATCAGGCTTAGCTCCAAAATATGAGCTCTCATTCCTCCCATTCTCAGATAATACCCTTTTGTTTTTAAGACAGACACAGTCAATGATGTAAACCTTTATTTAGTTTGGTTGAACATATACATGCAGTAGATTTTGGTATCCATATAATTAAATAATTGGTAATAAAATAACTGAAAAAAGTGTATGCTCATTTGTGTTATTTACTGCTCACCATTAACAAACAGGACATATTTTATAACAAAACCTGTAGCTCACATTTCAACAGATAAAATAAAACATTTAAAATAAAAAAATAAAAAGATAGATTGTCTTTTGTTAAGAACTGAAAGTGTCACATGGTCATCACAAGATGACGCTTTTTAAACATTCATCAACTACATTGCAGCACCTACTTATAAAAAAGGGAAAACCCGGACAAAGATTTATAAACTTCAGAACTTATACGTCCTGCACATCACTTTGTCAGAAAACAGTTCATCTTCCCTGCCAGCATTGCTGGTCTTTAGTGTTTTTTTATATCAGTCGCTACTGAAAACAAACAGGAGAATGGCCGTCACAATGCACTCTTCAGGAAGCCGGAGCCTTCAGTCTCTTTGACTTCCAGAATCTTAATTCCTTTAGCTAACACTGAACTCCAAACACAGTTAATCAATATTCCGTCTGGTTGTACAGATCTATACAGCAGCAAGGAATTGCTGGTTTCTGATTGAGTCTGTGCGTGCCCTAATGTGTACCTTACACATTCACATTCATTTTCTCTGTCATGTCCTTTTTTCTGCACTCCACTCATGGTGTTGAACCTCTATGGAGTCATGTTACTGTAAGCTGGGTGATAACTATCGCTGAACGAGCGTGCCTTAGAGGAAATACGCCACGACTCCACAGCCTTCTCTAGGTCTGGTAGGATGTCTGGCACAACAGCTTGTTCAGCTATAAAGATTATCATCTCCACCACCAGCAGCAGAACCCACCCTAATGCCCCTAGCCAATAGGAGGAGCCGAGGCTGGAGAAGTCTTGACGGATTTCTTCCCGGTGCTGATAAGTGAAAAGAGACCAACTGAGGAGGAAGAAGAAACCTGTACATAGAAGAGAAAAAGGAGTCAAATCAAGTATCATTGCGAGGAGAAGAAAAAAGTCATTAAGGTCAATTATTACATGCCTGGAGCTTTAGAAAAGAGTTTGTATGATAATGAACTGCAATTCCAAGAAGTAAAAGTCTCTTTAAAAACTGCTTCCCTGCAGGGTATGTAAATTACTAGTACATAAAAGAATTTCTGGGGGTTGGGTTTGATATGAACTACACAAACCAAGAGGCTATTCAGAGGTTGATTTGAAATGGGGCTATTTTTTTTTTTTTTACTACTTTACTACTTGGAATGAATGTATATATTTTAAAACTCCCTAAACAACAACAGGATAATTATAAATAAAGTGACACACTCAGGAAAACAGTGCAGTGGCGTTACCTGTACAGGCCATGGTTAGCAGCAGCAGTGTGGTGGGGTAGAGTGCCTGTCCTGCCATGAGGAGAGAGCGAGTGTTGGAATAGGAGCGCACCGTCGTAGATGTCCAGCAGAGGGCAAACACCAGACACAGAGCACCAGTGCTCACAGCCATGAGGAAGGAGAGAACTCCAAATACTCTCTCTGCTTCCAGTGCTGGAAGATACAAACCAACAGAGAATGTATGAGAAAGGCAAACTAGACTGATCTTCGCTTTCTACTATAACTAGTTTCTACTGTAACTAGTCAGCACGATGAAGTGAAACATGTTGAGGTGATGACATATTCCTTTGGATTTCCCTGCCTACAACTGAAACCAAAAAAGAGAAAGCAAGAGTTCATGCACTTCTAGGTAGTTTCCATACATATGGAGCTAATATCACTACAGTAGACTTATTCTGAAAGTGTGTTTGGACGGTACATAATGATGAAGTATATGGCTCTTGTGCACACAAGTTAATAACTTGTATCAGTGTTTCATCACCCTCTGTATTCCCTGCTTTTTCGTTAGATAATAAAAGCATCAAATATCTAAAAAAATAATATACATGTATATGTATACATAAATTTTGTGACAGTTAATTGGTAATTTGTTTGATTTAGTTGTTCTGTGTTTACTGCTAACCAAGCTGGCTATTATGTCTATTAATTACAGTTGGGCTAACCTTATTGTATTTTACACTTTTCACAATGTTACTCTGTGTGTTTGTTTTCTAGATTAATCCCTATCTTGTACTGCCTTTGAGGACTTAATGTCCTTTCACTCATGTTATATTGTTTCTCCATGTGATAAGAGCTTTCATAGTCTACACTTTCTGACTCAGGTTTAGTTTTCTGTTACTGTACTAATTCATTTTCTAATACCTTTGGTGTAACACATTTTTTTTCCCAGTTTATAACCACTATTACGGAATTTGTTGTCAGATACTGCAGAGTTTGACAATAGCTTCCAAAAAAAACATTTGGCACTGCTTTCTTTTTCTTCAACCTGACAGGGAACCTAATATCTTTAAGTGAACAATGACAAGAAATGTAGCTGCCACAGACCAAGTTTCAGCTGACCAAGATTAAACACATTTGACTTCAGCAAAGTGTTAGCTCCAGCAGATACAAGGAATGCATTTCTCTGAACAGAAGCAAGCTCAAACTTGTTTAGGTACTACTGCCGAGAAGCTCATCTGCAACCCAGTATGTTTCAAATGCTCCTGTTGTTGATCTTTAGAGATTCAGAGGTGTAAAAACATCTCCCTAAGGATTATCTCTAGCAGAACCAGTATCATATCAACACAGCACAGCAAAGACATGTTTATGCTTCATTGAATATGCTGCCCTGCCTCATACATTTTATTTGGCATGTCATACTGTGTGTCAGTCAAACCTTTGATCTATCCCTGAGTGACAGCTTTAGACTGAGTTGTTGCCTTCAGAAATTGTCAGTGAGGTGAATGTGGCCTGTTGCTCACCATTGAAGACAGGGCCGTCTTTGCGAATGGTCTGGTCACTTTTAGTGTTATTCCACTCAGTCCAGAGTCCCCTCTCCTTCAGCCAGAATGGTGTCCAGACCGCATAGCACACACACAGGCAACCTGCCAGCCCCACACAGGACTGAGAAAACCTGAAGCGACTGATGGAGTCCCCCAGCTCTAGCAACTTCATTTTTCTACACAACCGAGAGAGAAACAGGAGGAAACATATGTCTAATTAGAGCATACTGAAGTTGAGTAACAGAAGGGAAATGTACCTTATTTAGTTTATATAAATCAAAATTCAAGAATGTAGAATTGTAATTAAAGTACTGTCTTACCTTTGTTTTGTAGAGAACAGAAGGGTGTCTGGAACAAAGCTGTGAAGGTAATGTTACTACAGACTGCTATTAAAACTACTTATGTTTACTGCTCTACAACTCCTACTGTACTAACACTTTCAGCACACTGACATAATATGACTTGTACCACTCATGACCACAAGCCCTCACTCGTAGATCAAACCCTTCAGTTTTACCCCGCCTCTGTTGCAATGGAAACTCCCCCAGCCAGCGGCTAAATTTCCCCCGTGAATTCTCCACTGTGACCTACCAACTCGCACTGTAGGGAAAGTGAAAGCGCCTGCAACGGTCATTCAATATTTGAGGAAGGAGAAGTTTGTGTATTTAACAACAAGCAACAATGAATAGAGAATTACTGCACATTTAAAGTAAGTTAAAAAGTCTGAATTCCCTTGCTATTTGAGAGATACTCTGTAACAACAACATAGCACTCAGACATTTGTCAAATGCAGAAACTGTGTGGGGGGGTGTCGGCAGGTCATTACTCATGACAAGACATTTTAGGAAATCCCACTCTCTCTGTTTATCACAGTGGGGCTCAATGTGTTTGGGAAGATGGCGTCTTCAACCACAGATGTTGCTCCCCTTCGTCACATAACTACTGTACCTCCCCCTGAACTTTCCTTTGTTGTAACGGAAGGGCGCCCACAGCCCACCCAAATAAAATAAAATGTCACACTGAAATGCCTTCAGAAAATGTTTTGTACAAAAAAATAAGATACATATAATAGATATAAAAACTATTACTACTACAAGATATTTACCTGATTAAACTGATTCAGATTTAATGTGCATAAAAGATTATAGTCAAAAACAGACATAATAATTCATTACTTTATTCACAGATCATTAACTGTACACACAGTACAAGACATTCTGATAAAATAAAGTGCATATGACCAAATAATAAGGGTGTACAATTCAGATTTAGAGACATAAAATGTTTAAGAATGGCACATGGCTGATTTTGGTTGATTTACATTTGGCATTCACTTATGATTTGAGTAGATAAACATTAATCTTTTGAGTCTGGATTACAAAAACACAAGGCCATCTCCCTTAGCAGCTTAAAAATAAGGCCTCAAGATACAGATAGAAAAGTACTCTGTCCTGTTCTTCCATCCTGGCCTTGCCTGCATTACTTTTCGTCTTCCCTCCTCTATGGTTTGCTCTCAGCTAATACTCCCTCTTCACTCATAAACAGGCATCAGATTGTACCTTGTGTCAGGTGTTAGTGTGTCAAGCCTTTCACCGTAGACGCAGGGAGTAAGGAGGATGCTGAAGTGCTGCCTCTTGAAATTTGGCAGCTATACATTTTTGCCTGTTTATCCTAAGCTTACTTTCTGGCTCTTTGCAGCAGGGCCTTGAATACATCAAGAATCTCTGGGTCCTCTCCAGCAGACAACTCTGGAGTGTTTTTCTCCAGCCAATCAGAGGAGTGGATCTGGTGCCTGAGAGTCCCGATTAGAGAATCCAAACCGTCTGTGGGCTTCGATGCTTGGCAGTCCAGCAACACAAACTCCTCAGTGGCCAGCGAGTCTGTGTCAGGAACAGGTCTATCCTTCTCTTTCAGCTGGTCGGATGACTTGCTCTGGGGTGATGATGTTGAATTGACAATCGCCGCACTGTCTGAATCTGCACTGTCCTCTTTCACGGACTTTTTGCTCTCCTCACTGGCGTCTTTGATAGAGTGTGAATCAGGGCTGCTGTTTTTTCCTTCAATTTCTTTCAAAGCCTCCCTAATTCGCTTCAGGCCTGAAACAACACAAACCATTAACAGAACAAGTCAGTAACTATTATCCAAACAATACCTTGTTTAAGACACAAGGCAGGAGACGAGCTGAAATAACACAAACCATTGACTGAATAAATGTAACCACAGATACGATCTAATCAATTTCTAGTTCGAGGCATAGAATGGGAATGAGGAATGACATAACACACTATTTAAAAAGCTGAAAAAATATATCGACCTTTCAACACACAATTTAAGACAGAGAGCAGCTGAACAAGTGAGTGGGCGAAAAAAGTTCAAAAGTATGCAGTGTACGTACATAACACTCGGACTTACCAAGCTGAAGGTGGTGCTGTTGGTCTGCAAAGATAATGCGGAACCAGCCAGGTGTGGAGCAGGAGAAGGCCTGACCACAGCTCAAAACCACCTTGTGTCTGAGGAAACACCTCCACATAGACAACTCCTCCTCGAATGACGACTCTTTGAGGTACTACCAAAATGGAGAGACAGAAGTGACACATCAAGCTTACTGGAATGCACACGCGATGTGTTCGAGAAGTTATTTGCATTTGAATTAGTTATGCACAAGTAAGAAGTGAAATATCAAACCCAACATCTTGGTACCTTTCTGAGGTCAGCCCAGACATACAGCGCAGCAGGTCTGTCCAGGTAGGGGACGCCCATATCGTGCAGCTCTCCTGTCAGGTAACTGTGAGCAGCTTTCAGTCTGCATCTATTCTCAGGCAAAAATTCCTTGCTGATCCACTCTAGAACGTGACAGTGTGAAGTGATAACAGATAAGTGTAAATTAAATGTTACAAGGCTTTGTGCAGCATGATGTGCAGCAGAACCGCATGCTGTGCTCCTGTCATATCAGTAGAAGCTGAAAACGGGGGGATGATATCTCTTGAATGCAGGGAAACCGCTAGGAAGCACATGTTTGAATTGTTGAAAAGCCTGCATTCAAACTAATTTCCATTTATGAATTTAAACTCGGTCAAACAAACTGCTTGCTTTGTACAAGAGAGCTTATGATACTAGTGGGAATTTTGACTTGTATTTAGCCAAAGGTTAACAAATGATGTGAGGTTTATTTTTTTGAATACACAGTGTTAGCAAAAGCATATGTGAAGCTTGTGTCCATACCTCTGTCCTGAAGAAGTTGTGCTACCTGGTGCTGGGTGGTTCCAGAGATACCGTGGAATGAGCCCAGCTGGGCCAAAGCCTCCACAAGGTCTCTGTTCTCAGTATACAGGGTGCCTATTCTGATTCCTGCCATTGCAAAGTCCTAGAAATGACAAGATGCAGTAAATGGAAAAGGACTGTGAACACAGTCACACTGTGACACCCGCTGAAAAAAAAAACATTTCACTGCACAGTCAGCAAGAGGGATATATAAAGTCAGCACAGTGCGTACCTTGCTCATCCCCCACATTATATGCGTCCTCTGTGGGTCGGGCAAACTGAAATAAGGGCACATCATTAGCAGTTAAGAGGCTGTCTTCAGTCACAATTGTTATGATTAAGGGTGCAATATAGTAATCATGCAGAGGTTAGATTCATGCAGTACCTGTCTACACTGAGGACACTGTGAAAGGTGACAGATTCATCAAAGACCGTCAGCATGTACACTTCATCTACTATGGCATGGAGTTCATTTCTAAAGCAGGAAAGGAAGGAAGAGAAAGACAATATAGATATATACATACCATGTTTTTATATTGCTAATGCTTAATAATGACAAAGCAAATGCAACATAAATCTAAAATGGTTCCTTCACCGTCCTTAGTCAGTGTAAAGGCACTGTGGTTTATGTTTACAACAGCTCAGTGTCTGCAGAGGCCAGAGGAGGGAATTACTGGCAAGATCATTTAGAAAACAATAAATGATGCAGGAGAGTCTTTGGCACATGGCTGCACTTGACAATATGCTGATGGTTAAGAGGGGTAATAAAACTCCATCAAAAGCACTTGATATTCCACACGGTAAAATAAGAGAGTTCACACATGGAATAGGGATGGGTATTGTCGGTAATACTACTCTCAGTATCAGTTCCTTTTGTGATTTCTCAAGAATAGAATTATAATTTCTTTATTTTCTATTAATACTCTTTAATTATTACACACACATACATACATACATACATATTATTTGTATTTTTTTGTTTGTTTTCACAAGGATTAGCACATTGGAGCCATCACTGGAGATGTTTCTCTTTCAGGGGTACAGCCAGGTCGTGTGCATCCCCGGCCAGTGGGTCGTTCAAGATATGATTGTGTGCATCACATATTATTTGGACATTAATTGAATGGAACTGTTGTATTGAGGAAGGGGAATGTATTTGGAGGTGGACTGGAATATGCCAGAACTATCACCAATCTTCCTCTGGAAGCTTTCTAGTAGTGGTGAATACTTGCAGATGAGGTGAAGTGGGATTAATTGTTTGGTCTCTCATCTAAATTGAGGCTCCTGAACAGCGCACAGGTTTCGAAGAATCTACCTCAGTAACCTGATCTATAATAAGTGTAAACATTTAAAATGATTCAATGAAAAAATCATTTCATAACATTCTTCTTCTGTTTTTTCATACAGTAAACTGCTTTTTCATCATCATTATTTACATTTCCCAACACACAACACTTGGCTTCTGTGTGGTCTAGGGCATCTTACTACCTAACGAAAGTATTTATTAATGCCACAAACTGTTCTCACACACAATTCAAGATCAAATCTTGCGTACGAACGATTTAGCACAAGGCTCATTGTCCGCGTCGACTCCAGTGTAACCAGACTTTGGAGCGTTTACTTCACTAAGAGTCAAGTCACAAAGAGAGAAGAGCAGAACAGGGTCTCGTCTGTGTGTGAGAGAGGCACAGAGAGAGAGATCCCTGGGGGGGCCGTTTAATATCTGGTTTCGGTAGTCAATCTATAATAGGAACTATATGCAGTGCCATGGCAATGTGCTTAAAGGAGACACAGGATGGGGAGTGTTAGTGTTAGGTCACAGCGTGAGATAATAGCAGAAAAACATACCTTTTGGCAAATTCCAAGAAGGCAATCATTTCCTCCGGGGTGTAGATCTCGGCCAGAGGGTTGTGGGGGTTCATCAGTATAACAGCTCGGATGATCAAGCCCTGAAAGAGATGGCCAGTTTGTAAGAAAATATACAGTGATCTACGGTATCTACACAGTCTTTATAGAGATAAAGTTGAAAAACAAATCACTGAGAAAAATAGAGCTTCCAACGCGTTTGATGTGTTTAACTTGGCCGTTTCTGGAGTGGTTCGGTCTCTCTTTAAATATTCATCAAGGGCAACTGCTTAAGAAAAAATGCATTTATGAATTACCTCTTCCTTAGCCTTTTTCAGACCTTCTTCTAGTTTCCCTACAGTGAGGTGGAAGGGTCGACTGTCTTTGCCATCTGCCTATAAATAAAGAACAATAAGAGGAAAATAAATCAACATCCACATTGGACAGCTGACAGTGTGTGAGATCTCATGGTGCACTTAAAGGAGTATGCAGTGTCCATAAAAATGTGAGTTATATTGAATCTATACAATCAGTAAGGCACAATAAACAAAAGCTCATAGTAAACACTGCAAATAAATCAGGCTCTGTATTCCTACCTCACAGTCAAGAGGAATGTGAAAGAGTTTGACATCACTGTACAAATGTAGATCCTCGGTGATAACGCCGTAGAAAGGAGTAGGAATGAGAATGGCATCTACAACAAGAAAAACACCACATGACATCCAATAGGCATACATATATCTCCTTGTCAATATGAATGACTCCTTTTGTACAAATGCATACAAACCTACCGCAGATGTATCAATGACTAATCTTTAATTACCCACATGAGCTAATATTTAGGTTATTAGTGGTCATTTTAATTGCTAATTCGGGAAGCAAATTCATTAATGAGCCAAATTTGCTCATCTAAATTTGTACAAATGTTGGTAGTAAATACATGAACATGGGCTGCTATTTAAGGCAGTTAGTGAGCAAAACAAATATATTGCATATATTGCTTAAAATGAGGCCTGGCTTCCGGCGGCAATAAAGGATTAGCAAATTTATGTAGCTTCCTGAATAATTCTGTTAGGTTTGAAATGATTATGTCCCAACTTCTGATCATTTTAAATACAAAAATCAAACATGGCCAGATTTCTTGTTGCTATTGTAAACATATTTGTATTCATAAAGAACATATATGGATGTATTGTGTGTGTGTGTGTGTGTGTTAATGCATTCTGAACCTACCTTTAGGGTCACAAATGACTGCAGCAATGCATGAGAAGAGGGAACCACAACCATTCATCACCACAACCTGAACAAACACACACATCCACTGTGTTATGGAAGACCCTAATTAGGGCACAGAGGGAGGCCTGATAAATATGACACAAATTCATCCACCAACTGAAACAGCCATTCATTACATCTGCAAATTAAGTTGGTTACCCTACAAAAGCTACGTTAGTTCAATTGCAGCATTTGGCGTCTTTATAATCATTACAAAGTTAAACAAATTAATTGAACCCACTGCCTTTATTTTTAAGAATGAATGGCTGTAACCCAGTGTCTTCTGTAGCAGCAGCAGTAGCAGCATGAAACGTTATTTGTTTGTTAGTAATTACATAATGTGCTGGACATCAGTCATGGGAAGGGAACCTTGTTTACACAAATCACGGAAATTAGATCAGATCAACAGGCTTCACTAGTTACACAAGAATAAAACAAAGAAAACTGTATGTATTGTAGTGGAAACTTTATTTATTAATTTTGACTTGTGTAAAAGCAGATAAATATCAGAGGTTGCATGTAGTTTACAATCATTGTGAAGAATGGTTTCTTTTAGAATTTGTAATTATTACTGAATTAATGTACAGGTAGAATTGTAGTGCTATTGGTGGCTCAGGTGGCCCTTCAGTAGATGTAATAGTATTCATTAGTTTAAACTTGTGGAGATTAATTATATATTTTACCTTGGTATAGTATGTTGTGTGTGGAGAAGGTTCCCGCTATCTACATCCATAATATAAATGTTGTCCGTGTGTATGTATATATGTACACACACACATTAATATACACAGTATACAGTATGTTCTGTGTATATTCATCTTCACTCACATTGTCAGATTTCAGTGGGTTCGGTGAACAGCAGTAGTGAGTCAGGAACTTTGCAACCTCCTCTCTCAGGCTGAAAAAGAGCAAGATGGAAAGGTTGTGAGAGGGTTAATGTTTACTTTCAGAGTTCTTGTTAAAATGTAACTTTGCTATAAGTCACTTGACAAATGTGCTTCTCATTTCAAATGAAAATAAAGTTGCACTTTATTCTCTTACAATGTGTGTCCCCTCCAGTCTGAATACTGCAATAAAGACGGGTCAATATGTAGCATGTCAGGCTTGGTCATCTGTAGCAGGGAGGAAAATGAAATTCATTTGTGAATGCAGGCAGACTAATTTAGAATAATGTTATGTGGCAAAGACATATTATAGTCCATTACACTCTACAGCATTACATCATTATTACCAGGATGTGATTGCATTAATCTTACCCGTTTATGAAGAAGATCATAACATAGTTTGTTTTCACTGGTACCCATGTTGATTATACCCTGGGAGTGAGAAAGAGAGGATTAAAAATAATCATTACGTTGTCATTTTGACACATCAGAGCTGTCTGAGCTGAATATTTACGACATGACTCCGTCTTACATCGGGGTTATCTGTGTCATGGTATTTGTCCATTCCATACTGTACGTAGCCCTCCTGGAGAATGCCCTGATGCTGTCGGATGCTGTTACCACGGTTGGACAGATACACGCTAGGGCTGGGAGTTTCCGCAACTTTCGGTGTTGCCAACACATTCTGAGACATTTCGCAGACCTTGACAGATGTGGGAAGTGTTGATTTGGCTGTCTCCTGGGTGGAAACGGCCTGTGCGGTGGGAGTGTCTGAAGGTGGCTGAGATAAAGATGATGAGACGGAGGGGGCGGCTGTGGTCATCAGTGAAGCTGACAGATGAGCTAGGGGTGAGAACGAGGGGTCAGTTGCCGTTGTCTCAGCCGCCGGCACACCCTGTCTGACAGCAACCAATGCCCCTGTGAGCATGCTGAACAGACGGAGCTCATGCTGGCGCTCCTGTTCCACCCTCTTCTCCTCCCGCTGTTCCCTGCGCTCCTCCGCCTGCAGCTCTCTCTCCAGCCGCGCCTCCTCCAGGGAGAGCAGGCGCTCCTCTGCTGTCTGCTGCCAGTTCAGGAAGCTGGCCAGGGCTTTATCCAGGCGTCCCTGACTGTCACATCTAGCACCCCCTTGACCCCATGATGTTTTGCCACCCCGGCGACGCTTCCTCTGTCTCCCAGAGGTCGTTGGATGAGAACACTCCTTACCGGGCAGCTCAGATGCGTCTTGGAGCACAGGACAACCACCAGCCTGGGTAGCAGCTGTGGCCGAGCCGACAATGTTCAGGTCACTGAAACCTGGGGATATGAAAAAGAGAAATATGTTTTCAACTACCCAACACCTGAGAGTGATAATAATAGTAATAGTAGTTGAATTGACAACCTGAGGGTGAGATTCTTGCATTCGTTGAGCTCTCCCCTCGACCCAGGGTGTCCTCTGGCCCCAGTAGAGAATGCCCGTCAGCTTCCTGGTCATCTCCTGATCCGTAGTACATCTCGGGGGGTGCGACACCTGAATTCAGCATGCTCTCGTCAACATCTTCACATTTAATATCCAGTGGATCTCCAGCTTTTGGAGGCTGACCAAACAGAAACCCACCAGAGGAAAGGGGACCAAAGGAGCCAGCTGGAACTCCTTGCACGTACTGGTCAGGCCCACCTGGGCTCTGAAACACCTGTTGGGCTATGACAGCTCCGCCCAGGGAGGAGTAGGTAATAGCCGGTCGGTTCGCCAGCACCCTGTCCATAACATCATAGAACTTCCAAGACCTCATCTTGTGGTTGTCCTTAATGCGGCGGTACTCCAGCTTCATCTTCTTGATCTTCTCCCTGCACTGGTCACCGGTGCGGTAGATGCCCTTGTCCCGCAGGATGTGTGCTATGCGGTCAAACACGCGTTGGTTGCGCAATGAGCTCTCCAATTCAATCTGGACCGACTCATCGGACCACAGCTGGAGCAGCTCCACTATCTCCGGGTCGGTCCAGTTGCTGCCTCGCTCGTGTCTCCTGCCGCGAAAGTCCATCCTTTAAGTTACAGGACGTATTCTGCAACACAGGGACGAGGGAGTAATACGAAAGAAATATCAGCAGGCTACCTCTGTCATCCTAACTTCATGAACACAAAGGAACCACGGGGCTCAGGAGCGCTCACGTGTATTTCCTAAGGTCCATACTTTATGTAAACAGTAAATATATGAGCCTTATTTTACCCACTTTGTGTTCTCTCACCGTGAATCAAAAGTGCAGCTCTTCGGAAACAGACTGCTGTGGAGCTGTCACTCAGATGTGACATCCACGTAGGTCGACACATGTCACGGCTGGTTAACCCGGTTTGGACTGGTTTGGAATGGCTTAGCTTTGTCCAGCCGGCGCTATAATATTTTATAAATCAGTCTCAGCAGCAAATTTGTCATAACTTGGTTAGACGGTGAACAGAGGCGAACCAAAATATCTACATCCGGGTTGACGGCACATGCGTGCTGTCCTTATTCCGGGATAACTTTGGTCCGTGTTAAAGGAGGGGGGGCGGGGGGGGGGGCTGCTGCTGAAAGCGGGCTGGATTTCACTTATCAGCCTGTAACGGGGTAGACACAACCATGCGAGTCAGTGTCAGACTGTGAGCTTTGTGTAATGGCGCCCTCTACCGCTCGGTGTGTGTGTGTACGTTCAACGGTTAGCCAGAAGATGGCGGTCGCACACAGCGGCACAGATCAGTTAGCTGGAAAACAAGGATGCGTGTTTTGTAAACAGGCTTACCCCGGAATTCCTTTTTTTTTTAACGATAAAATGTGCATGAAGGCGGTTGAAAGAAACGTAAACAGCAATTCTAAAATAAAATAATTTAAAAAAAAAAAAAGGTTTTGTTTTAACCTTTAGAAAAGCATGAATCGAGGTTAATAATCAAATATAATTTTCTTGTTACAAATGTGAATTTATAAGTTTATATTATGCCACAAATGCATTTTATTTCACCTCTTAATAAAAAGGCGAACCGTTAGCGTCGAATGCTAAGTGGCTAAACGTGACTTTACGTAAGTTTATCCCTGTTTCGGGCTATATTAAAACCGCTCCCCGCCCCCTTTTAACGACCACGGTGTAACGAATCAAGCGTACGCGACGGTCCAGTCGGCTTTAAACGTGACGTATTTCCTGGGGAAAAAGAGGGGGGTTCGTGGCAGTTTGTTGTCATCTCCATCCAGTAGTGAACCGTTATATTGTATTGGCACGCAGCCCTTTCTCACCCCCTTTGTCTTTCTATCCGTGTGTTTACTTTACGTGTGTGTGTATGTGGGGTGCATTAGTGCCAGCATTACTGTAACCCGCAAACAAGTCATGTGAAAAATTACTGAAACGGCCAAAGAAAATATCTGGGTGGCCAAATGTAACCTAAACATGGTGGTGTTGGCAAGTTGGTGGCGGATTTGACAAGCGAGACGGGATAGTTGAATTCGGCGCTTCTTTTTTTTTTTTTTTTTTGGAGGAGGAGGAGGAGGAGGAGGATGGGTTGTCGTGTGGATAGCATTATTATTCACCTCCTGGATCAAGTAGAGGACGTACAGCGTCAGGTTAGTTTGATGTAAAGTTGAAAGTCAAGCCGCAGGAGAAAGGTGGAGTCTCCGCCCGGAGGGAGAAGAATAAAGAAGAGGAGGAGGAGGAGGATGAGGAGGCATCACGTCTCGGTTTCGCTTGTTGGCATCTTTAGTTTTGTGTAAAAGCCACGAGTTAGATGTGTTTAAAGCAGGGGAGGGCAGCAGCGGCAGAGTGGGTGGGAACAATGGGAGTATTTGCGGAAAGCATGAGGGCTATTTTAGCATAAAGTGTCTGCCAGCGCTGCCGACAGCTCTCACCAGTCTTCCCAGTCAGGTAAATCCTCCCCCCCAGTCTGGACAACGGGCTCTCTTCATCCTAATAGATGGACCTTCTTATTTTTTATTTTTTTGTTCTTGAAGGAGAAATGACTTAGCCCGATAATTGACCAGCTTTTGGGTCTGCAGCGCTTCCTCTCTGAAGTTTATTGTTGGTAAGATAACGGCATGTTTGTTGTAACTGCTGTGTTTACAGTGTTGTTGTTGTTGTTGTTGTTTTTTTGCAGCATGTCTCAATTGACTCTGTTAATTCTGATTTATGTCCTCCCTCCCCTCTGTCTCTATTGCACCTTATATTCTCTTCCTCTCTTCCTCATTCAGCCTGGAGCCTTAATGGGCTAAAACCCACTCATCAGGTACTTTTTATCTGTGTGAGGTGGGAATTGCTCTTATAAATTTCAGTTAATTCTCCTTCTCAGGCAAGGCAGGTAGTGTTTAGACCAAGCTACGCACTATTCCTCTTCACACTGGCATCAGATATCTGTGTCTATTTTAAGGAAAAGCAAAAATTGTGCTCAGTTTGGAACAGCAAGCTGGAAAACTAAACTTTGAGTGATCTAACTCATCCTGTATTATCCTCTGGTTACTCTTGCTATAATACCTCCAGTGCAACTCCCACTGGGATCTCAACAAGGGGGGGGGTCAAGGTCACCAGCTATTGAGTCAAACAGCACGGCTCCAAGCTTCCTTCTCAATCGGATCCCACTACCTCACCACATCAGAGATTACTCTATAATGCAAGCCTATTGTGTCTGTATTTGTGAGGCCTGCACCATGCCCAGGCCAGTAAAGAGACCAAAGCTATTAAAAAGGGTGGTCCTGCGTTTATGTTTATGTCGCCGGAGGAAGTCGAAATGAGTGGTTCACACACACTTCACCCAGTTGTGTTGATTCGTCACCAGCGCCGGGTTTAACAGTACTGATCGTTCGTCAGATGGCAGTTCACACATTTTATAAGGAGCATAAAGCAGGAATGCAGTGGAGGAGAAAGAAGTAGGAAGACAAACTTGTCAACAGTATAACTCATCTATAAACTAGGACGGAGAGTGTTGTGGATGAGAGGAAGTTTGACACAGGGAACAATGCCAAGATTCAGATGGCTGTAAAAAAAATTGTGTTGGATCTCTCTGTGGGACATTACTTACAGGATTGATTCTTTCTCCTGGACACATTGCTGCTGCCCTAGACAACATTTTATCAGGCTTTTCCATCTCCGCAGCTCGTAGACAGCGGGAGCTAAGATGGATCAAGCGTTAGTGATACTCAGTCACAGAGTTCTCGTTCACTTCGCTGTGTGCCTCAGATGATCGCCGGCACAGCACACTTCCAGCTGTGTCCTGACAGGGCACGAGATGCTTGTGCAATGTCTCTGGTTTTCCAACCGCAATCTAACGTGGAGCAAATTTTCCTCTCAGTAGAGGAGGATGCTTGGCTGTCACTAGTACTTCACAAATGCTACAGATCTCTCCTGTGTCTTTGTTTTCTCTGAGAGGGCAGCCCAGAGCACATGGTGGGTGTTGATTAGGCTGGTGGGCAGCCTGAAATAGCACTGGAGTGCTGCATATGGTTGGTCCCAGCTTTGTGGGCTTGTCATTAGCAATGGAAATCGCCTGTTAGAGCTGTTATTTCGTCAAATTATGGTTATCGCATCTCTCCGGAGTGGTACTCATGTAGAGAAAGTTAACTGAATGCATATGTTGTTTGTCAGATACATCACATTTGCACTATTGGACATTGTCATGGTCATTACTGTAGGCCTCTGCTGATGTTCACTTAGTAGTTTCTCTGATGCAGCCGGGGGGGGTATACAGGCTGTTCCAATGGGTAAGAAAATCAGATCAGATTGTGAAGTCCAGTTTTCTTAACACCAGCTCTTTACTAGCAGTACTTTATCTAGATCAGGTAGACCTAGAGCTGGACTATAATTATAAAATTGTATATTATGATGTTTGAGGGAGATTATCGGTGGTATTTTCATCAGCCGTGGAAAAGATAACCCAGCAGATGAATCACTTATTAATAACTTACTCAGCTACAACTGACCAATACTGGATTTCTGAGGCCAATACGAGCATGGATATTTTAGAGTGTTAATAGAAGTAAGGATACTGGCTGACTGGCTGAAAAAATGATAATAACAATAAGCATAGTCACCGGTGCAGTACTGCTATCTACTGCAGTTTACAGTTTATGCCAGAAATGCCATCAACATTAATTGAGCGAAGGATGCGAGCAAGTTTAGGCAGGTCAACTCGAGCTGCGCTGATTACACACATGACATGCGTTATTCCATAATCACTAATCAAGCGCTCCCCTCCAATCTGGCGGTCTATTTAAACTACACAATTTCCCAGCTCTCCCTCTGCTCTGTCAATGCCGCTGTTGCCCTGCATCCGTATTGCTGCTGCTGCTGCTGCTACTGCACTGTAAGCCCCACCACCACCCCAGCATCCACCTGTAGGCTCCGACTGGGGGTTAAGGTATTTGCGCATCACTCCCCAATATCTCTATGTAAACATATCTGCAGGGAGTGATGAGGTCGGAGCCTAGACGCCAAAATCTAAATATGCTATACTGCTTAATAAACATTCCAAACTGAGTTGGCTGACTGAAATATCTGTTATCAGCCAGAATTGGCCAGTAATGTACCCCCCGCTGATATGTCTGTCAGGCTGTAGCCGTAGCCCACGATACAGTTTGTATCATATAGCTGTAATGAAACCTCTAAGATCAGCTAAAGATAACATATTACTTAGTATTAATTTTACCATATTGATATTACTGCATATCAAAATTCGCCCAGATCTTGTTAATCAGTCTGGCTCATATCAGATCTTAAAAGCTAGTGTTCCTCAAAGCCGCAACTCTGTAGAGTATCCAGCAGTGTGTAGTAGCTGTTGCCCTAGGGCTTAATGGTGATATCAAGACAATAATGAATCCACAGTGTTGACGCATCTCCCCCTCTTCTCAGTAGAGATGAATTGTAAGGCATCAAAGGACAGGAATCATTCTGTGGTTAGTTTGTACAACACAGTTTTGTTCTGTTGGTCACGGAGCAGCTCCACTGGAGCGCTTGGGGTTGATGTGCACTCCTCAAGGGCACCTCAGCTGTTTTTGGTGATGCAGGGGAGGGGGGTTGCTAAGCAAAGTATTTTGATAGGAACAACCTGTTGTTGCAGTTTTGTTCCATAAGAGAGAGAGAGTTTTTTGAACAGGAATCTTTAATCAAAATATTTCACCATCCCCGTCACCACGACATGCTGAACTATATTTGGAGGTCTGTCAATAGCTTGAAACAGAAGGTGCTGAATTAATAATTCAAAGCTGTCATGTAATTTTAGCATAGCACAGGTCACTTTCCCACCCCTGCATTTCCACAGGCTCACTTACTTGAGCATGGTACTAATCTTGAAAGAGGTTATGCATCTGATTTTCTGTTTTCATTGTAGTTTAGGTTCTAAAGTCTCGAGTTCTCCTGTGGTTTGAAGGTTGAAGTTTCCTCTTAGTTTCAGGCCTTTGATGTATATTGTAAGAGTAAGCAGCCTCTTGTTAACTCCTCTCCAGGCTGTTTTGAGACAAGGTGTTTTGGGCGATGTGTTATCATGTGCTCGTTATTTTCCGCAATGCTGTATGGGGGAGGGATACCACCCCTCTCTCTTCCACCGTCTCCCATCTATTCCTCCCTCTCTCAGCCCTCTCAATGACAGCAGACCCCCCGCTCCTGTTTTTGTGACTCCAGCATAGCATCTAATGAGCTCAGAAGAATTGCTCCACGGGAAGAGTGACAGCCCCTGGTCATGTTGCCACCACCTCTCCTGCTGCGCTCAAATCACACCCACTCCTAAATGTATCTGTGAAGCCACAGATGTATTCAGTGAGTTTCTCCTCTTTGAATAGTTTGGATACACGTAACTCCCCAGAAGCGGGGGATAATTGTTTGAGTGAATGAAGGCATGGGCATCCTCTGTGTTGGTAAAAGGTTGTGAAATGTGTCCTTTTTTTTCAACAGTGGATTTCAGGGAGAACTTAAGGCGAAAGTATCTTGCCTGCAAACCAATTTCCTTGTTACATGACAAATGCCAATAGAGTTAGTCATGTATTTGACAGGACCCAAATTCACTGTGGAAAGGAAGGAAGTAAGAAAGGAGATTCTGTGAGAAGGTTAACATGGTTCAAGCTTAAGAAAGTCTATGTCTATGAGCTAAGATAATCTTAAAATATACTATACATGGACAGTAACATGTCATCATATCTCTAAACTGGTCCCTTGTATGACTGGACTGTCATGTGCGTTTTTCACGTGTTGTTATGTGCAATGTACGAGTACCGTGGTGTTGGGAGGCGCACAGACTGCTTTTAGACAGTGCCACCTACTGCCCACATCACCACCACTTAATTTGAGTGCACTGTGAAAATACTGGGTTTTTTCTTTCACAGTCAGTGCCTATGAGGAGTATAAAGACACTCAGCCACAGTCAGTGAAACAGTCTGCTCTACTGCAGGTTTGCCTTACCTTGCAGAAGACATAGGCTCCTTTTGTTTTTCAAAAATCCATTAACAAGACTGAAAGTCTACAGCCCCATACCAGCCCCTAAAGCCTGAAATGTTCATTACACAACCCTGTTTGAAACAGTTTGACAGAATGCACACCACACTGATGATTTTGCTATTCTGAGAGCCTTAAGGGAGTGGGGATAAAATGTTAATTTGTCCTGAGGGTGGCCATAGGGGAATGACACATTATACATCATTAGAATAAAAAAGGGTTTGTCTTCTTGGGAGCCTAAAAATGCTGAGCAAAGTTCCTGACAATCTGCCTACTAGATCATGAGATATCTTATGGGCACAACTGACAGTATGACGTAAGGTCAGAGCAAGTTAATATATCATTGAGTTCTCAAAATAAAGTGATCATCTTTTTGGGACCATGGATGTACTCTGTCGTTTTCATTGCCTATTGGTGCTTAAATAACAGCTGCAGAGTGGCAGCAGCAGTGGAAAGGGCAAGTGGTCACTAAAACATTGGGATTTATCCTCTGGAGACCATGTATATCCACTGTATTTCTTGTGTTAAGGTAGCCATTTTTTTGACCTTTTCATGGCTTTATTGGGTAGGACAGATGAAGATCCGCTGCAGCATCTCCGTATATGGGTCGCCAGCTCTACCGACTGAGCTAACCGGGCGCCTAAGGTAGCCATTTTGACCTGATGATGGCTCTAGATGATATATACTACGGGGGCTTGGCGGTCACCAAATCTCAACTGATACCAATCAATATCAATACCCATGGGAGAGTTTGGATGTATTAGACAGTGTCATCCATCAGAGTCCAAGTCCTTGTCAAGGCACATTGCCCTTCTAGAAACATTTGGTGACCCAACACCTTACTAAGACACATTAACAACGTGTTCGACAAATATGTCAAACTCATTCCACTTCCACTGCTGTCACTGCCATGACGACGAGTAGAACAACCGGTCCTCGTGTTCAGCTATCTTCCCCATCTTTCTCCCACAAAAAACTGCTAAAAAGGCAGAGGTGAACACGCCAATTAAAAAAAGGCTCAGACTGAACCTTCAAAGTTACCTCTATTTCTTTCGCATGGTGTAGCAGGGATTGACTCACTGAATGGCAGTTTGATGCCACGTTGGTGGGATCAGCAGTGGGACTGGACAGTCATTTAGACCTGCATCACCTCTCTCCTCTTCATCTTTCCTAGGAAGAACTGGATTCCCACACCTTATCATCTTTATTCTCAGTCAGAGGCGGTTAACTTACCGCAAAGCTTTCCTTTTTATGTGTGACTTACGGGCTCCTTTCCTACGACTCAAAGAGCTACAAATCAAAAGCCCTGAGAATGTCCCAGTGTGAAATTCTTTTTTCCGTTTTAACATCTGCTCAAATAATGATCCTTTTTATCACGCTTGTTATTTTACTCTTTAATTAGAATATGTCGTACAGTACCTTCGCAGACCCAGTAAGTAGCTGCTTGAATTTAAATTATGGAATGTCCTAAAGTTAAGGGCAGTGTCTGAGTGAGCTTTAAAATGTCCTCCATCTCAGACGCCTTGCCACAAGTAGCCGTGTAGTGGTTTTGCTTAGAGCTCCTCCTGTATTGCAGCAACATGCCTACTGTATATCATTATCATACATTACCATTCCAGGTATGAAAAAACAAGGGAGAATTGAAGAATAATTCTGTTTTTGGCAGAGCCCTTGTCTGTTTTGACCTAATATATATGCTTTGCACATTTATGAAGACGTTCTTTTTCTCTGGGTTGACAGTTAAGTAGACAGTGAGCTAAGTATGATGCATGATAAGGTCTGTGGGTGTGCTGTTTATTTTTGCTTCAGTTTTGGCTTTGTTTCCTGAATGGTATCTGCAGTACTGTAGGTAATTTAGGCCCAAGACTGACCCAGTTAAGAAGGCCATGCCTGTGTTTATAGCTGGCTCTGTCCTCTCATCTCTAGGCCACCGTTCTACTTTGCTGCTGTAAGGTAGAGCAGCCCCACTCTGCCTGGGAAGCAGTGACGGACGGACGGATAGACTGCCCTGTGAAGTCCTCCTTTTAATGGATGCCAGGGTGGCCCTGCTACATGTATGGACAGTCCTTGTCCTCCTGACAGCAGAACGGAAGTGGATTGATGCTGCAGAGGTCTACACCAACGCTTGGGCTGTCCAGATCAATGGGGGGCCAGAGGAGGCTGACCGCATCGCCAGGGAACATGGTTTCATCAACCATGGCAATGTAAGTTCGTCTTACTGTGTGTGTGTGTGTGTGTGTGTGTGTGTGTGTGTGTGTGTGTGTGTGTGTGTGTGTGTGTGTAAATGCATGAGTATGTACACACTGAAGAGGTGTCTCTCATCTATATCACTCCATGTGAGACTGTTTTCTTACCCAGCTATGGCTTGTAGGTGAACATCAGTGTTACAAAACTGTTGTACATCAAAGCCGAGCATCAGCGAGCCTGACATGACACCTCCAAGAAATCCTGTTTGCGCAGCAAGTCGCACAAGTGTGGCCTCCTCCACTTCTTGTAGCTTAAAGTGGGGCATGCATGACTTCGTAACACACTGGCAGACAGTTGTGTTTACTGAGTAGTGTTAGGAATAGACAGGAATAATAAGACTGTTATTTCTGTGTCTCAAGGAAGGTTGTTATATTTAATTATGATGTCTGTAGTTAAATTTTATTGCAAACACTTTAGCTTCCGTTTTTGGGATTGGCAAGTCATTTTAATTAAATGAGCTGTTATGACATACAGTTCGCAGATAGGGGAAAGAAAAACAATTGTCAGAAGAGGTGAAGGATAAGGGGGAGAGAAGGAGAAGTAGTTGCATCTTATTGTTCTTTCAGTGGTGTGTTAGGTCCCTTGAACAGCAAAATACTTCTAAGGCTAAGCTTTTCCATATTTGTGCACAGCAGTTGACAGTGAGTCGCTATTTTGTCCCCTCTTCCCCTGTTGCTCCACTTGAGACTTAACTTCATTTGCATGCATCTTTGTGGAGCTGCCTGAGTGCTGCACACGCCAGTGAACAGCCTTCTGGATTACTTCTTAGGAATACGCGTAGGAGGTTCTGCACATTCCCACCCCACTTCTCCCCACCTCAAATAAAGAGGATTTTCTGAAAGAGAGGTTTTGCAAAATTAATTTGGTCTTATCGTTGCTTTCTTTATTTTGGCAAAGATGGAGCTTTGTCTGGAGTGCAAAGACAGATGTTTTTAGTCTCCCTGTTATCATAGTGAACAGTTGTCACATGGATTTATGTCAAACTGGACGATTAGATTAGATGTGTGTCATTATTAAAAGCTCTGTATCGTCTCCCCCATTATATTAAAACGTATCCATGTGACATAACGTTGAGCTTGTCTGAGGGACTTACATTCTGCTTGACTCTGGAGTTCATGTAGTATTGATCTGGATTGTTGCAGTTGTTCTAACAGTCTAAAAATATTGTACTGCCGAGTGAAAGAAAGAGTACATTAGGTATAATGGCCCCTAACAGACTTTTACTCTTAATTGCTTCTATGAATTCTAGATTGTGAATCAGTCTCCAGTCTTTGTGATTTGGGTAAAATGTAATGTTCAATATTCTGCTCACAGAAAACACATACATATTCTAGACAATCACCCAGGGACACAACGCTATGAAGTAAAAAAAAAGTCTATCTTCCTCCAAACGAGGCAGTTCTTCTTTCTTTCATATTCCCCTTATGTGATCGGTTTCCCTAAAAAACCTTTATGGCTTTCTTTCTCCTGTTTATCTCTCCTTCCCTCATTTCACCCAACCACAAAGACATCTCCTGCCTCTCTTCTCTCCATTAAACCACTAGATTAATGGGGAGATGTATAACTTTATTTTTCCACTCTGTTAAATAGGGATTGTGTCAAAGGAGTAGAGCTAGAAGTAGTCACAGGAACGAGTCCTCCATGGCGGCTGTCAGTCACTGAATCTCTGATGCCATATGGCAGCTTGTCATTTTAGTGGATGTGACTTTAACCACTCAGGTCCTGGAGGGTGAACAAGGAGTCTAGCCCTGTTCCATATGATGGGTCCTAAAAACAACCCTATTCACTTCATCCCAGCCAACCAACAGTAGATTTTTGTGGTTCTGGGTTCATGACACCACAGCCCACAAGATGTCTGTCTCCTTTACAGATTTTTTTATTTTTCTGAAGAAATCTTATAGTGGAGCTTCTTCTTTGCAGTTTTGATGTGAGAGGCAGATATTTCACTAGTGGATATAGATGTCTGCAAGCTTAGAGAGGGTGGAGATGGATAATAAAAGCAGAGTAGGAAAGAAGGTAGAAAGAATTGAGATAATTGACTATTTCCTATTGGAAAAAGAGTAGAAGTGAGACGTGGTGATAGCAGGACGGTTGCAAGGACGTGTGGGAGACGCTAGTTAAAAAAAAAAAAGGAAGATAGCTAATGGAGTATGGTATTACGAACTGAAAAGCATGAGTGCTGGATGACTGGAAGGGTGAAATTTAGTATTATCCACTGTCTGGAATTAGATTTTGTGGGAGTACATCTTCAGTCATTGTTTCACAGAGGCACCCAAATAAGTTTTATTTTAGTCTCTAGTCCCTGAGTGGGTGCTATGAGAGAAGGATGATCTACTGTATGTGCAGTGCCTGTGCTCTGACAGTGCAGTGGGGGTTATATGAGGGTATGGGTTATGGAAGGCTTTTAAGGGCTGGGGGCTTAGAGTGGGAAACGACTTTTCCAGCATCCTTGGTGGTTGTTCTACAGGGCACTTGAAGAGAGAAAAGAGGCTGATGTATTATTATGAGGTACTGTAATAGGATTTTGATCACTAATGTGATTACAGGATCATCACGTAACTGGTTATTTGTTCATTGCAGTGCTCAGAAATGGCTTATTGTCTTGGTGCGCCTTTATGTATTTGCAGATTTGCTCATTATGTTTCAGCTTTATTTTATTTGAGTTTGTGTGAGGAGAAGAAAGGGTACTTCAGTGTGTGTGTGTGTGTGTGTGTGTGTGTGTGTGTGTGTGTGTGTGTGTGTGTGTGTGTGTTTGTGTGTGTGTGTTCAACCCCATGGTTTAATTGTAAATGTCATCAAGACATCCTAGTGTGCGTCGGCATTTTGTAAGTTGACACAAAGCGTTGTTATATCTGTTTCTCTGTAATTTGTTTAGTAGTGTTTTTTTTTTGTTTTTTTGTTTTTTTTTCAATAATGCTTTTGTGTCTGCGTGGGTGTACAAGACCAGGGTTTAGAGCTAAATGTCATGTCGTGTTCTTGGTGAGCCAAGGCAGAAATCATTGTTTTTATGAGGATGGGCAGGCTCTGTGGGCGTTGACAGACTGAATCACCCTGCTCTGTGGAGTAGACGTCTAATGCCAGAGCCCGTGCCTCTGTGTCTCCCTAGCTCTCTCACTACATCTCTCCATCTGGGTCTCTTGGTCCCTTTCTATTTATAGCTAATTTACTCAAAACATGGCTATAGTGTGATCTGAAGTAAACAACACACAGGTTTTGTTATCCGACTTCCCACCATCTGCTCCAGCAGCCTCGGCCCTCCTCAAAAACTGCAGGAAACTGCTCCTCTGGCTCTTGTGTTGCAGAGGTAACAGGTAATTTCCAGGTAGTGAGCACATGTTTGATTGCATTCACCTTGTGTCAGCTGATACTACTATAATATTCCTTCAAAATCCATTATTCTTGCTACAATTTCTAGGTTTTGCTGTTTTTCAATTTCGTACCATCACAGCCCCAAACACACAAACACATACCTGCTCTGTGCTGAATGTAATGCGCTCCAAGGCCATTGTCTTTTACTCTGCACATGATACCCTGCCAACTATGTGATGCTTTAGCCTACTGGCCAATTCTCTCTCTCTCTAGCTGTCTGTCTTTGTTGATTCATTTCGATTCAAATGAGCCGTATTGGCATGAATTGTAACGAAATAAATACATCTCGCTCTCGCTCACTCCCTTACTCTCTCTCTCTCTGGTCTACTTATCTGGTGGCTGCGTGAGGTGGTCACAGCACATCAGGACTGAGTTAATGTTTTATTGCTAAAGAAATGACACCGATGCTTTTAAGATTGTACATGGGCAGTTTGCTCTGTGGGTGAAGAGCGTTTGATTATTTTATATTGGAATGTTATTTGTAAAGCAAGCTCTGTCAGGCTGATTATGTCAGATGGTGTTGCTTTTATCTTCCTTCCGTTTGCCTGGAGTGCGATTGGGAGGCATTTGCGTTGTCTATGTGTGTGTGTGTGTGTGTGTGTGTGTGTCTGTGACACTTTATTTGTTTAGCCTGCTGGTGTCCACATTTTAAAGTAATAGTTTATTAAAAGGAACATCAAAAGAATCTCTCTCATTCTCTCTCTCTCTCTCTCTCTCTCTCTCTCTCTCTCTCTCTCTCTGGTTCTGCATCTGACTCTCTCCCTGTTGTTTTCTCTCGCTCTGAGACGTTCACATCCTTCCACCTCAACACTCAGTTTCACTCATAAACCCATATGACACTGTTCAGCAGCATATAGACAATGCCTGCTATTTGCTGTCTCCTATTTCCCACAGGACTTTAAAGGGAAAATAAGGAGAGTCTCTCGGAATAAAAGCTGTGAAGTCTTGCCGTTGGCACTAACGAATCTCAATAGAAAGAGTCTGCCATGGTACAAATATATTCTAATGGTACCAGGAGGTTATTATTAAAAAAAAAAAAAGCTTACTCTTTCCTTCAGCAAAATCCCAAACTTCTTTTTCTCTATAACACTATTGTCCCAAGTCATGCAGAATGATTTGTTTGTCTTTCTTTTCTCCTTTCATGGCTAAATATGTTGTCACTGCAATGAATGTTCACTTTAAAGGTGTGTATTCTCTCTCCATTTTTTATTTTTTTTTAGATAATGCTAAACTGATTATTCTCACATTGTCTGATCCCCGATGTAAACACGCATTCATATTCAAATTTCAATTTACTGACTAAGCAGGCCCTTCAACCGACTTAAAATGCATCCGTGCCCTATTTTTGGTATCCTGTCAGACCGAGAGAACTGACAAAATTAGCAAAATTGTGAAAAAAGTGGAGGAGGTCTTGGACAAAGATGGGTGGTGATTCATGTGTCAAGAGCTTGGTTTGAGGTCATCTGTGATAATAAACTAGACCTATAGTATGCAGTCATAATGGCACCCTAGCACAAATACTCATATAGTTATATGTTTATGAATGTTGTCCACATACATAGAGCTTTAGGAGGTGTTTGCTCTCTGC